GTAAAAAATTTTTACTGTTCACAAACTTATAATCATGTTCTCATGAGAACTCTGAGAACACTAATTTCGAACACTGGTTGGATGTCAAGAACATAACCAAGAACAGGTAAAATATGTGAAGTAAATGATCGATCCTAGGGAATGAGCTGTAGACCACGTGAGCAGCGAGGCGATATCCTATTGAGCCGTGTGATCGAGTGACAAATCATTAAAATCGGTCTAGTAAATCACAAGATATGACTACTTTTTTTTACTGATTTTTCTTAATGCTGAAATTATATTTATTATAATATTTGACTCCTTAACTGTAGACTGCCTCATAAATATCTAGTTTTTTTTAATTGCATAATTGATTAGCAGAAACGTTAATACTAATTTGAGGTAAATTAAATGCTGGCTCCAAATATTTTGGTATACCAAAATGCTTTCAGAACCTCACCACGATAAGTGTAAAATAAGAAGTTGAAAGTACTAACGAAAGTACGTACTAACAGTTATAGTGGTACAGAAAACGGGAAAAGGTTAAGTATTTCATCTACGCCTCATATGCTTTTTAATAAGCTTTGCAATTTTGCAGTAATTAAGATAGAGATTGTACCTGTTGTGAAAACCTCTACCTATATAATAATTGTCCGAGGGACATTACTGTGTAGCCTGATGTCTGTGTGTCCGCAATTTACAGCTTTTGATTGGCTAGATCAGATGTAACGTAAAATCAAAATCAAAAATTGATATCAAAAATCGAAAAAAACTTATATATATAAAACAGCACATTCCTGTACCATAAAAAAATTATACGAAGTTCTGATTTTTTTTATAAATTTACCTTTTTTTACTATTTATTCACGAGTTACCTTTTGGTTTTTTTTTTTTTTTTTTTTTTTAAGAAAATCTCATTTAATTACATCAAATTTACAAAAAATTTTTCTGCTTTCTTTTTTTGAAGTTAAATTACAAATATTACAGGGTTATGGAACGTTTATATTATATAATTGAAATTCATGTGATTTAACTGTTTGGGTTTCGAACAGGATTGAACGGAATTTAGAGAAGCAGATAGTTAGAGTCCGTAAGAGATTATGATAATTTTAATTTCAGATGTGACTATGTCGCATTTAAACCAAAATATGATAATACTTTATGACCAGATAAAGCAATATCATAATTCGACTAAAATAAATATGGTAATTTCGTGAATAATTGAATAAATAAATGAGTGAGCGAATGATAAAAACAAATCTAAAACCCGAAATGATAGTAGAAGTAAAAACAAATCTAAAACCTGAAATGATAGTAGAAGTAAAAACAAAGTCCAACTCTACTACTATACAAAAGCCAGGATTGATAAGTGTGAGTGAGTGAGTGAGTGAGCGAGTGAAATTGTGGCTCTTATAACGCTTTTATCTTTGGAGATTAAATATGTTATAAATTTTTTCATGTGCCTCAGAAATTTGTTCCCACACATCAACCATTTGCCTTGCTAATTCTTGCTCATCAATATGAGAATTAGACAAATTATTGGAGAAAATATTCTGCGGATTAGCACTAGTGTCAGGTAGGATGGAGGTTTGGGCATAAAGAAGGTTATAAACTATATACATCATTTTTCTGTGTGCGTTAGAAATTGGTCCCAGCACATCAACTATTTGCTTCACTGATTCTATATGAGTAGGATTAGGCAATTGATTTAGGGAAATATTCGACAAATTAGTACTAATGTTAGGTAGGGAAAAGGATTGGGCATCAAGGGAACTTAGATTATATGGAATGTTAACAGGTGTATTATATTGTTCAGATTGCGGTTGGGTATAAAAATCAATGCCGGTAGGAAGAGGAATGATCTCCGGGGCATTAATTTCAGGTGGGAGATAAGGACGCGCATCATTTGGTGTGGCACTTTCATGTACATTATTTATATTATAATCATCAATATCGGTTGAACTATCCGTAAAATTAATAACGGATGAATCAGATTGTTCAGATTGCGAGTTGCCTAAGTTGGGAGAGACTGAGTTATTGCATACCCGCTCCAATGAATCTAAAGCTTCTTTTGTGATAATATCAAAAGTCCAGCCAAATTTGAGAGATCTATTATAGGCTCTAATGTTTGATATATATTGTTTCAAAGAGCTGGCTTGCAAATTGTCCGCCTTAACTTTGCGAATAAGATAAATAAGATACTTTTTCAAATGATCCTCTTTAACAGGAAAGGCAGATTCGTTGGGGAATAAATCTTCCACAAACTTGGTATAATTTGGAACCCCATTTCTTTTTTTAATTTCTTCCGGTCTGCGACTACTCATTTTAAATCTTCAAGTATTGTTTAATTTTTATAATTTTTTATTTTATTTTTATTTTCAAAGTGCCAACACCGTATTGATTTATTAATGGGTCCTATACAAAGTCAGTTACCCGATATCATATGCGGTTTCATTAGAAAGAGTGTGGGATGCCACCCAAAACGACCCACCTAGACGGGTCTTTTTTATATAAATTTTTCATTTCCAAATGTAAATTTACGTAAAAAAAAATAAAAAAGCGTATACATTCGTACGTACACTGTTACACAAATGATTTTGGGAAATATGTATAGTATTATATGTCGTACTGTTATTCTCGTTATATTTATTTTAAATCATTCTAATTACAGTAGGTACGTACGAACGTACGACGATAGTGCAATGCACATGATTATACAGTATTTAACATTCGTATATATACATAGCTCGGCAAATCATATTTTATATTTATTATACATAAATTATCGTACGTTTACATGCGTTCTCAGTGAATCTGATTGGTCTATCTGATAAAACTGGCCAATAAAATTCTTTTGAAAGAGGTACGTTGATTATATTTGTACAGATTTTTTTTTCGGACTTTCAATTATATTTTGTGTACAGTTAGTCGTTTATGGAAAATCTATCATAATGATAGATTTTCCATAGACAAAATATAATTGAAAGTCCGATGACAGGTTTCCTTTGACGGCACTCAAATAATATAAAAAACCGTTTAAAAGCTTCAGGTATATATCATACTATTTAATATTTTCAAATACATATGACAGTAACAATTCCGGACGATAACAACGATATTTTATAGTGGGCAAAAAAAAATCGGCTACAATATTATGGGTATAGATCAGTTCGAAACTATAAATGTTTATAACATCTTACAGTTATACAATAATACATGACTAATCACAACTCTCAAAACAGATGAACAATGAAATTATACAAATTTATACAAATTTATACAAAATTATACAAAATTATAAAAAATCATAAAAAATCATAAAAAATCATATGAAATCATATAAAATTATACAAAATTATACAAAGTTATAAAAAATTATACCAATTAAAATTATACAAGATTATGCAAAATTAAACATATGTCCCAATCCGTAGCATGATCTTATATAAAATCAACAATTCGCGCTAAGAAAGTTGTGAAATAAAAAAAAAATGAATTCACGCAGCGAATTTAAAAGACCTCTAAATTCGTTCATGATATATAGAACAGTTGTTCACAATTACCTCAAAGCCAATAATGTCAAATATTCCAGTAATGTTATTTCCAAGTTAGCAAGTAACTTATGGAAAAATGAATCCGCAGAAATTAAAAATGCATATAAAAAATTGGCCGAAACAACGAAATGTTATAAAAAAAATTTAAAGACCAAAAACATTACTAGTAACGAAAAGCCCGTCTTCCTTAATATTCATTCTGAATCTATATATGTTCAATCCCCTGCTTTCTCATTCAATATTAATTCTCCAACTGTTATTATTTCAACACAAACATTAATAGATATCCAATATAACCTTATAATTGTCCCTCTACATTGATTTCTTAACATAAATCCATTCATGTAGTATTTCAATAGAATTCGGTTCTTATTGGGTTCTAGAGATGATGTTCAATCTAAATTTTTTGAGTTCATTCATGTTCGATTATTTTTTCATTCTTTTTGAATATAGTAGCATTCCTTAACATCAACGATTTTGGAATAATTGATCTAATAAAATTAATTAGTCATGAATCTAAAGTCATATCTCCGATACACTACACTGTAAACTGTTTTTATTCCAATTTTTTAATGAATTTCAGTTCAAACTCGTATTATTATTTATTTCATTAATTTATTCTCATTTTTATATTAAATAATCATATTGGTTCGATATTTATTTACTTCATTTTTGTATTAAATACGGATTTTGGTAAAAATCCTGACTAGAGTTGCAGAAACGTGCTAGACGCGATGTAATGATAAATTTTGAAATAAATAAATAAATAAACCGTACAAATAAATTAACAGCGAAAGTTATGAATAAATTAGAAGTCACAATTTGCCTTTTGGTTGATGAATAAGTCCTGGCAATCCTATACCATTAGAGCCTTGTGTTGATGCTACTTCACCGTCTGAATCAGAAACTAGCAATGAAAAAATTGTAATCGGGTCATGTGTTCACGTAATAAAGCCGATCACGGGTCTCTAACTGCGATTTTGTCTCTCATTGAGGGGGTATTACTAAATCAATGAAATACAAATATGGGTATTCTGTCCCTTTCGCTTTCGTCAATCCATGCTCACAACGCAGAATTTGAGATTATCGATCGAACTATACCAGATTATCTTCTAGATGCAATTGTCTATCCTGCAAGGTGTGAAGAAAAAAAACCAGACAGTTCTATCTGAAAAAAAACCTTAACCCCGCTTTGATTATCACGCTAACAAGCATAGACGAGGTGCTATGTGCACAAATGCAAGAAAACTTCTTTGTAACTGTCACCTCGACAGGCCACTTATATTGTCGTCCGACAAGCCACAATTCATCTAAATCAACTAAGCTATGACTATACTGTTGTTTACCGTACAGGAAACCCCCTTATCCCTCTCCTAACAAATCTAGACAAAGTACTATGTACATAATGCAAGAAATTCTTCGTGACTATCATCCTGACAGGCCACTTCTACCCCAGAACCAAAATTATGGCTGTCGCCCAACAGGCCATAATTCATCAAAATCAACTAATCAATGACTATACTAGATTATCCTCTGACTGCTGCTGTCTAGAAAAGATGCTATGTATTATACGCAATTTCTTCGTGACCGTCGTCCCGATAGGCCACTTCAAAAAAACAGGCCATAAATCATCTAATAAATAAACTAAGCAATGATTGTCTGTCGTCGCGACAGGCCATCAAATTAAAACATTTATGCAGACTTCCAGATCGTACACCACAATGTTGGGTAGGGCGGGACGAAAACCAAACCAAGTCGGATTAGCTGAAAAGCAGAAGCTACTTTCTCTGGGAAAAAATCCGTTCAGCTTAATACTACTAACCTAACGATTACTAATAAAAAATACTGCAATTGCGCCGGGTTGGTGGTGCATTAATCAGTCTGTGCAAATTAAAAAATTCTAATGATAAAAATAAAAAAATTATAAAATTTAATAGAACGAAACCGCCATTTTTAACGTTATTTCTACTCTAATCACGTTCTTGTTATTTTCAAAAAAGCACGTTTCCCTTCATTTTTTTCATAATCTTTAGCTTCTAATATTATTGGTTTTATACATTTATAATATTTATAAATTATATTTTCGGAATTTTTACAGATCAGAATGTCAAAGTACTTAATATAATATGCGTATAAGAAAAATATAGGCTTTAAAAATATGACAATAAATCTCAAATAAATACAAACTATGTCTGATATAGTTTATAAAAAAAAAAAATTCTTTAAATGAAAAAAAACTTTTTCATGATCTACGCTGAATCGTATTTTAAAAAATAATAGTAGTATTCCTTAATGTTAAGGACGTTTCACTTTTAAAACTAAATTTTATAAGCTTTGTTAACCTTATATACTTCCGAAATTACTATAGTATACTCTACTTATTAAGTACGGTCATAATGGTACCTTTGTATAATGAATGAATAAAAAATTTTAAAATTATATTATTTCTGGTATGTCTTCAATTCACAAAAGAAAAATAGAAAACATTCAAAGTACAGGACGGTTGATGCAACACATACTGAAATAAAAGAGATCATTGTGGCTGGGTAATACGCCATCAATCTCCCAAAAAATGGTTGTTCTAAAATTGTCATGGATTGTAATTTACGGCACTAAATCGCCTACGAAATCATACAATATGATAAATCAAAAAATCTTATCAATGCATCGTGCGATTGATATATCCCGTGATCGATTCGGGGCAAAAATGCTGCTCCGATATTTTCGTATCGGGCAGCTAATTTATTCGTTCTTTTATATAGCTGGAGAAAATTGTATATTAGCGAATCAATGTCGCTAAGTACTGGTTGTGGTAGTATAACATTTCGGGTTCATATATTAGAGTATATTCTAAATAAATATATAATATATACGTTCCTGGTATAATTCTACGATATTTTTTGTTTAATAGACATTACAACAATATGGTTTATGATTTTATGGCATTAAAAATTTTTATTCGTAATTAATTATAGCAGACCAGACGTAATTCAGTAATTACAATTTTTTTATTAGGTTTTTAAATCACTGATATTCAGTTTCTAATAGACGCGATTACTGTACTTTCCCTTTTTCCAAATTTCACAAAATGAATCCATATAATCGAATCTACATGCAAAAAGTAGTGATGCTAAAGACTATACCCTTCCAAATATAGCAGCTACATTTTTCCGAGTGTTTGTGACCATCACGACCACAATTAGGGATGTTACGGTCCGTCCTGGTCTGGTCTCGGTTAAAAAGACCGGGTCCAAGCAGCGGACCATAAACCAGACCAAAATTTCTAAACTGGTCACGAACCGGTCCTATTTCAGTCCGGTTCAAGGACCGGTCTACCTACAGCCAATAAGAATGAATAATTTTAGGCCACGTAAAGTTGATTTTTTCATTTTGCATTACCTGCCGACCCATTTTTTCAATTTTTCAATTTTTTTTTTTAGATCCTAATTGTACCAATTGTTCGATTTTTGGTTTTATTTTTTCCGTAATTGCCCGATAAGACTGACGGAAAAAAAGAAAAAATATGACTTCCGACACAATTTTTTGATTCCTTGTTGTGCAAAATGAAAAATTAACTTTGCGTGCCCTTATATATGAACATGAGCTTATTAATTTACAGTAGATTAAAAAAAAAAATCCGACCCGCCGGCTGGAATTTTGGAACAAGTGGCCTTATAATATTATTTAAAGATGAGGCCAATGTTTCGGGCGAGACCAAATGTTTCGCCAAATCCGAATCCGAAATTTGGGCGATACTAATTTCGCCCAGCATGCAAATTTCCGAAAAGTCCGACAAAATCCGCAATTGCCCATATTTTAGACTCAATGAGTCCGAAATTGTCCGAAGCTATGATTGGTCATGTTTAAACGTGATTCAATAATGTGAAATTTTTTTTGGTTCGTAATTTTGTAATTTATATGTTAATTAGACAATTGCGCATGCGGGGAGCTTCGCTGCCCAATTTCAACCCGCTGTTAAACTTTCCAAAATCGATATGCATGGTTGACAAATTTTGTATCAGTATTGAGGTCATTTGTTTTGATAACATTATAAACTATTTAATTCACCAAGCCTGTTTTCGCTAATAGTTTATAATGTTTTCAATCTGATGACCTTTTAATGCTAATACAAAATCTATCCACCATGCATGTCGGTTTCGGGAAGTTTTAACAGCCTTTAAATTCATTAATATTTTTCATTTTGCCCACATTAACTACTTATGTATATGTAAAGATCGTTAATGCAGTAATGCACTTCGAATATGTATAA